GGCACGACCATCGTGCATGCCTAAACAAAATCGAGACTCGTCACTAAAGACAATACTGTTCCATTCCTGATCCCAGAGTGACTGTTGTCTGCACCACTCAAGGCGATTACGTCGGTGTTCTCGAGTTAAAGGGGGGACCCAGTGTGGCCGGTATGAAAACAAGCCAAAACTTCTCATTCGTCGGTAAACACTTCGCATGCCAATAGGTCTTCCGTGTTCTGCAAACCATTCATTTGCAATGGACCTGGTAGTGGAGAAACGGTCCCTTAAGGCCAATAATCTTAGGCGGCGATCTTCACGGTCTGTTGTTCTACGGCGGCGTCCAGTGCCCCTTGCTCTTTGCGTACGGCCTTCTCGAAGCCATGCCTGACAACACCTAACCACAGTGTCTACATTTCTTTGCACTCTAACTGCAATTGCCCGAAAAGAAAGTCCAGCTTCCCGAAGTCCCACTATACGGCCCCTATCAAACTCACTAAGTTGACGAAATCGTACAGGTCTCCGTACTCTAGGCATCGTAACTGATCGTAAAGGATGTCAAGAAACAAAATCTGCCAACGTTGATTCTTTACTGCTTCTGAAATATTCATTTTTAGAGCGTTAGTGAATTAAAAAAAAGCAGTATTAAAACCGGAATGTCCAACTGATAAGGCTGAAAATTTTTTCACTTGTTATTTACAGTAAGATAAATACATTCACCAACTTTTATTAAAATAAAACCATTTAAACTGGGTGTTCCAATTTATATGTCACTTAGTATATATATCATACATTGGCCTTAGTTACATATAGAAAAATAAAATTTCTAAATGTGAAATGATCATATTAATTTAAATAAACCGAACAGTGAACAATATATAACGGGTGTAAATTTTCGAGGTACAGAACTTTAAGTTGGCATTACTTTTGAAGATCATTATGGAACATACTTTATCACCTATAAGTATTACCTAATAATCACTTAATAATCCGTAGGAAGAAGTACTTTAGTACGCCTCTGTCTCAGACGGATGCTGCAAGCCGCAGATTGGGTGTACCCCTTCTGAGAAAAAATTCCTTTGGGCGCCCCTGCAAGCGGTACTCGCAGGTACGACCCCATGTGATAGTACAGGAATATCTTAACCTAATAGCGCGGTAAACCGACTAGTAATATAGCTTTAGTTCGTCCGACCACAGACGGCCATGGAAAGCACAAAACGTCATCTATTACCTGATTCGAACATTGCAAAAGTGAAAAAAGTAAGCTGTCAGTTGGAATTTTATGACAGTTCGCATCAACGAAATATCATCTTGTAGACTACGTTGTTTTTAGGGTGCAAATAGTTCATTCTACGTTTGCCCACCATGATCGCTGTGAGCGACCATCTATGGAGGAATAACTCAACTACACGCATTGTTGGTTGCGGAAAGCAAGTATATGTTTTGTTAAGCCGAGTAGTCTGTAGTGTATCTCTGAGAAGATGTGCAAGAAAGAAAGTTGGTTGAGTAGCAATATCGCATATGGATGATTATGTATATTGGACTGTATATGTATAAAATCAGCGATATTTGCTATGTGAGAAAATTATTACTGAATATGCTTCCAATAAAGTATAGAAGTGCCCGATGGGTTATTTACAAGTGTCCATCAGCTAGTGCTAATTTAAAATCTTGTAGAAAAAACTATGTTATGTCAAAAAAACCTTACGTTATGTCAAAAAAAATCGACCTAATCTCACTTTTCAAAATGCGTAATACCCGTGTGCCGCACCTTGCTTGGGATGTACAAGATGCGGTGTCATCAATCGAAATATGATGCAATGTTGCAGAATTTGTGGCGATCCTCACCTTTTATTTCCACTTAAAATGGTCGTTAGGACCAATCTGAAATCAATCCGAAGCCGATTCGATTCAATTCACAATTCAAAAATGTGTACGCTCAAAACAAAACTATTATTTGGGTGTAAAGAATAAATGAACGCATATTTTCAATGTGCGTCTTAATTCAAGGAATTGGTGTAACGCGGCAGATTGCCGCGTCAGCGTTGCAAGGCAACGCGGTGGTGAGCTTCGTTATACAGCCGGCTTCCATCTTTTTTTAACATATGTGTCTTTACACATTTCTCTCTCGTACACATTGAACTCAAGCCGTTAAGCAAATTTGGTTCTCAGTGTAATCTGTAAAATCCAGGTATTCTATGCAATAGCTAGGCAATGTATTGAATACCTGGGTTGCTCAGGCGATGTATGAAATATTAGGAATATTGTTATTACATACTTTACGTAGGTAATGAACACAATTCCTAAGGATTGCATAAAGTATCTGCTGTTGCTGTGTAAAATAACTAGGTCTTGGTCTAAATGTATCAATGTTAACCGGCATACCTATGAAATGACGGGCAAATGGAACAATTTATATTATTTAGAATCAACTTTATTAAAATCAGCAATTTTTTTTTTACTTTCGTTAATTTCCAGATTCTGGGATATTTAAACCCCAAACACCAGTTTATCGAGTAGAACCCGTTTTATTTGGTACCTTACGTTTAGTTGTTTTGGTTTGGGTGCTACCCCGTCCATTTTCTTATGGGATTTTAACTTTCAGCGTGGGAAGGCATTGGCATTCATACTTCTCCAGTTTTGCTTTGTAGCTGTTTTGCAGCTGATATTGCAGGAAGCCACCCCTTCCCCTTGAGCAGAACCCGTTCCTTGCTCTCGTTTTTTACATACATTACCGACTGCGCATTCTGTACTGTATAGAATACCTAGGCAAAGTATAAAACAAATAATATTTCATATATTACCTTCCCGTTTTAGGTATTCGATATATTACCTAGGTATTTTATAGAATACCGGATTATACAGATTGCCGGTAACATATATACGCAATTCACCAGAACATTTAATCAAAGTATTGCATTGATTGTGACTGCAACGGTCTTTTATCATCGAACTATGTAAGAACAAAGATGTCTATTTATCGTTACCCATCCGTATATGAAAGACCGAGTCTGCTATCCAAATAAACCAAAACCAAAACGTTTAATTGTTTTAAATGTACCTTTACTACATAATCTAAATTACCTAAGCTAATTAAATAATTTAATAAAACAGGAACATAGTTTGTTATATCCAAGCTAAACAGTTCATTCCTTCCAATTCAGCTGGTTCCAGAAAATGCAGTGTAAACAGAATAATTTAGATACTTGGGAGTAATTAAAAAATCCTTTACGAATAACGAAAATTTTACATTAAAACTGCTCAACTGACTAAGTTTTCTCAGTGTATGTGTATTGTTTCACTTTTTCATGGCTCGACAGTCCATTCCTGTCTAACTTTTCGGGCAGCCACAAGCCAAAAGCTTAATTCTCCTGTATCATAGCCGCTCGTATAGTCTTGAAGCGCTCGCCAAGATGCAGGTTTCGGTTCTAGTCGGTCATTCAAGGTAGTAAGTTCAGGGGCCCCTCGCCTCTCCCCCTCTCCACGCCCCTCTACCGTACCCGGGCCCCCTCCCACTTATTCTACCTGTCGCATCTCACCGATTTTCACCTGTTCGCCGCTGTAAACAAATCAAGAATCCAGTGGCCGGCGAGTACTTGAATTGTTCGCGCGATCAGAGCTTTCCCAGGGACTTTCCAGTTTTCACCGGACTTTTTCGAGTAGTTTCGTTCGGGTGGCATGTGACAGCGCGTTAGTCGACAGTGCCGCGTCCTTGCAAAGTGTGGAAAAGTCACGTAAGTTTCAGTTCAACCGCAAATTGCGTATCGGAATATGTGACCAGGCAGGTATACCCAGAGGAATGTGGTGCGGTGTTTACGGAATGACATGGGGAACCCGTGACAAGGTTGACCAGATAATTTGGGACATGGGTTCGAAATGGTTGAAGAAGATGACATTCATCAAATCGTATTAATTTGATTTCCACAGGAAGGGATATAATGGTGCTGCTGCATTGTTAGATCTAAGTGACAATGTTGTCAGGGCTTGGGAAAACCATCAAATTACTCCCTTAGTTCTTTTAGATTTTTCTGAAGCATTTGACACCATCAACAATTCACTTTTAATAGGCAAATGTAAATTTTGTGAAATCTCTGAATCATCAGTTGCTCTAATGAGCTTTTTAAGAAATACATCACACAGAGTTGTCATCGATATGAACACTTCTCCTGAGGCTTTAGTATTATTGGAGTGCCTCACGGGTCGGTTCTTGGGCCACCTCTTTTTATTTTATATACATCACACAGAGTTGTCATCGATATGAACACTTCTCCTGAGGCTTTAGTATTATCGGAGTGCCTCACGGGTCGGTTCTTGGGCCACCTCTTTTTATTTTATATATCTCCGATCTTACTCGCAGTTATACAATAATTTTAATACTGACAACATACTAATTGCTGAGGCTCAAATTAGTGAAGACTTGAGAAAAAGAGGGGGAAGACCTAGGAAGAAATGGATGGATGGAAGGATGTTAGGAGTAACTGCTTGAAGAGAAAAGGTTGCGAACCGAAATACATAGAGAAGGGTGATTTACAAAATGGAGTAAAGGGACTAAGGGTAGTATCCCAGAAATGTAGGACGCCTTTATGGCCTCCTCGATTTTCATTGTCTTTTATTACCTTCAGAAAAGCTGGGGAATTTCCAGATTTCTGCTGTTCGGTGTCAGTGTCAGAGCTCTCCTATTGCGAGGCTATATTTTCTTTTTGAATTGTAGGAAATTTTAATCTGATAAAACAGTTGATATAAATCAAAAGCATAAACAATTTGATGCAAATAGATACTCGTGACATAACCTCAAAATAGACCGCTAATACGGAACAGCAGAAAACTATGAAAATCAAGGAGACCATGAAGGCGTCCTATAAATCTAGGAACGACTGACGATGCTGCCTTTAGATACAAAAATTATTATTATATCCCACCTGGTCAAGTCTCTCATAGTAAGGTTGGTCTGGCGATTTAGGATATGCGATCGAAGCGGTTATGAACGAAGATATAGAAGAGTTCATTAGTTTCATCCTTACCCTATGGTCACATGGAACCTGTGCCCAGGACACCAGCTCGATGGCCCTCCAAATGCCTAAAAAATCAAACTAAATTGAAAGTCTAGTATCCCCTGCCGCTCTTCTATTTTTTTAATGGCAGAGGGGATCTCCTCCAGGACCCCTTTAGTCACAGTACCCGCACGTCCTGTGCACCCAGTGGTCCCTACGAAGCTGGAGACGGCCCTGTACTTTACGTATCATATTTCGATAAATAATTTATTTGGGCATACCAACTAACATGGGGTATGAGTAAATGAGTATGCGTGACAAGATTTAGTGGACAATTAAGAATATGGGATTGAAATGGTTCAGAAAGAAGATGAAGAAGGCTTCAAGACATTCATCATTATGTAGCAGTTAGGTTTCGACTAAATCGGTTAATTGTGCACACGAAATGACATGAGGTATGCGCTACAAGGTTGATGGCCCGGGAATTTGGATCGAAATGGTTAAGAAAGAAGATGAAAAAGGAGGGTTCATTTAAGAAACAACTCAAATCACTTTTTTAGAACAGAATGCAATGCAGATGTTGTGACTTATAAATAGTTTAAAAAATGATTTGTTTGTTGTATCAATATTATTGATACCCAGGTGACAGGAATGAACACGTGGATGATTTATCGTGATATAGTCATTATAGTTTTTTTTTGTTAAAATTGTTCTTAACATTCTAATGTTAGTTATTTTCAAGGGTTAAGTGGTGGAATAGCTTGTATACCCCGTTTCACGAGTATTCGTCACGGTAGAATGACAGTTAACAGCTGATTATCTAGTAATATCTCAAAATTCCCCATATCGGCACAGGACACAAAATTCTGACGGATCCGTCAACGCCAGGTAGACAGAGCCGAATTTTGTTTTTATTTCTCGTACGCTACAGATTTATTTTGTACTTGCTAACAGCTCTTTTATTTAGGAAAGTTGTTTGCATTCAAAAAACAAGACGCCACAAACAGGTTTTACTATACTAAGTGACATATAAATCCGAACACCCAGTTTAAATGGTTTTATTTTAATACAAGTTGGTGAATGTATTTATCTTACTGTAAATAACAAGTGAAAAAATTTTCAGCCTTATCAGTTGGACATTCCGGTTTTTATACTGCTTTTTTTTAATTCACTAACGCTCTAAAAATGAATATTTCAGCCGCAGTAAAGAATCAACGTTGGCGGATTTTGGTTCTTGACATCCTTTACGATCGGTTACGATGCCTAGAGTACGGAGACCTGTACGATTTCGTCAACTTAGTGAGTTTGATAGGGACCGTATAGTGGGAAGCTGGACTTTCTTTTCGGGCAATTGCAGTTAGAGTGCAAAGAAGTGTAGACACTGTGGTTAGGTGTTGTCAGGCATGGCTGCGAGAAGGCCGTACGCAAAGAGCAAGGGGCACTGGACGCCGCCGTAGAACAACAGACCATGAAGATCGCCGCCTAAGATTATTGGCCTTAAGGGACCGTTTCTCCACTACCAGGTCCATTGCAAATGAATGGTTTGCAGAACACGGAAGACCTATTGGCATGCGAAGTGTTTACCGACGAATGAGAAGTTTTGGCTTGTTTTCATACCGACCACACTGGGTCCTCCCTTTAACTCGAGAACACCGACGTAATCGCCTTGAGTGGTGCAGACAACGGTCACTCTGGGATCAGGAATGGAACAGTATTGTCTTTAGTGACGAGTCTCGATTTTGTTTAGGCATGCACGATGGTCGTGCCAGGGTTAGGAGGTGACGTGGGGAAAGGAGGAATCCACAGTTGTTTGTTGAAAGACATGTTCATCACACTGTTGGAGTTATGGTTTTGGGGTGCTCTGGCTTATGGTTCCAGGTCACCTTTAATCTTCATCAGAGGTAACATGAACGCGCAGCGTTATATCCACGAAGTTCTAGAACCCCATCTTTTACCCTATCTTGACACCCTGGCAGATCCAACTTTCCAACAAGATAATGCCCGACCACATGTTGCAAGAGTCACAATAGACTTCTTTCAACATAATGATGTCACATTGTTACCATGGCCACCAAGATCTCTCGACTTATCCCCAATTGAGCACGTGTGGGATATGATGGGTAGGAGACTGCTCAATTTGCAACGTCCTCCTCAGACTCTAGAAGCACTTCGAGAGGAGTTGGTGGTTGCCTGGAATGAGATACCACAGGAGGACATTGACCACCCGATCAGAAGCATGCCTAGGCGCGTTGGAGAATGCCTAGCACATCAGGGTACATCCACACATTATTAAAGGTCAAAGGGCTTCAAAGCAGTACAATCATTTTGAAATTTTTATCATTTACTTATTATGCTTCATTAAGTACTTATATAAAATTTTGTTAAAATAAAACCATTTAAACTGGGTGTTCGGATTTATATGTCACTTAGTATAGATTTATACCCGATGCATCATTGCTAACGTTGCAGACTAACACAAAAATGTTACTTGCTGATCAGCTGTTCACCTCAGTGGACGTCAAAGCGAGATCGATACTCGTGAAATAGGGTATAACTGAACTTTCCCTGAAATAAAAGTCGATTATTATTATTACAGAACAATCAAAAATATAGTACAACCCCAACGACTGAAAGAGTATCGGAATTAACAGTGATTGTGACTTTGATGGTCTGTGTGAGTTTACTCATTTTTTTTCGCTAAAAAATCCTTGATCTAAAAGCACGAAATATAAATCAATACGAACACTGAAATTTTGCGAGAAGTAAAGGAAGTTATAAGAATTACAGATGTTACCAATTCGTGGATCTAACAGCGGCAACATGGTGTTTATCGGTTTTGATTCAGTCACGTATCTACAGATTATCTCACCGATAATAAACAACATCACAAGTAGAAAATACATGGAAAACACATCATTTTTTTACACCGAGGCAGCCGCTCAGACAGAAGCCTAAATGTCAGGGCATTACGGTTACTATGAGGAGCTTAGTCCGATTTTTGAATTGCCTAAGGCACCAGCCATCTGCAAAGCTTCTCTAGGCGGCCATAGGATGGAAATTTGCATAAGAGGGCAGCATGTCAGTGCTGATCGAACACTTGATATCAAGAGCAACGTCAAGAGCCTCACCATAAGACTGGATGAGCTTTCTCCACAATTGCGTGTGGATCGCTGGTGCCGAAAACCATGCTGCCTGTCGCTAACCAAGCCGTGACGTTCGAGGTAGTCCAGAAGCTCCCGATTTTATGCACTTATAATAGAAAGCAGAGCTATAGGTCTGTAGCTGTAAGGATCGGTCTTAGATCCTTTTTTTGGGATGCACAAGTTCTTCAATACAATGGCAGCAATCAAGGACTAGAAGGTTTGTTGATGTCTGGCGGTAGGAGCACAAATGTATGGACGTTTTGTTAAGATATAGACAGTACTTCCTTTAGTACTTCTCGCCATCGAACCTCCGGATTAGAGAGGCTCTAAAAGACAGATCTCATGTTTGTGGGATGTTTACACCATTTACTTGAAAGTGTTCAAAAGAGAGCAATCCGTCTTATTGATAGCACTTGAATACACAATCTCAAGTGACTTATGGACAGGAGATCGATGACCTGGTATCTGATATTTTCTTGATAAACCAACAAAAACTGATTTGCCTAATACACCAGTCTGACACACAGACAAGGCTTCTGACATAGATAGCATTCCTCCATAGCTCATCTTTGATCGGCACGGGTATCACGTATCTTGAAAAGGGACATTATGCCGATTTTTTTTGACATTATGCTGTTTTTTTTTGACATTATGTAGGTTTTTCTACAAGATACTAACTTAGCACTTAGTTGTACATGTTGCCTAAACGTCATGGGCCTTGTTATCAATCTTTGGCTTTGGTGTTATGTAAAATGTGTTTCTGAGATGGCATTACTGGAGGTCTAAGCTGGAAGTTGTATGTGTTGATCATAATAATTACATTGGGTTCTTGTCTCAAATATACTTAATTGAGATTCAAAGCTGGAAATTAGTTGCGCATCCACTTTTTCTTATCCATTCTGGAAATTACACATACAAATTTTCTGAATTTCAAAAATGAGAGAGATAAGAAATAATTATATTCACTGTACACTGTCGAATTACAAGCCATGCGCAAAAGCGGGCACGGTGATGATTTCCCGTAATTCTCCTCAGTTTTTCGTAATTTATGACTTTGAACATAACCTCTCTTCAGAAAGCTTAACCCTGGAGCGCTTAGGCGAATAGCACGGCTATAGTTGCTTAGGCGGGGTTACCAATAACCCCAGTGATATATTCCTATTTAATGAACAAAATATAAAAGATAGACACTTTTGTTTCAATAATAAAACATTTATTTCAAACACTCGGTACATATTTCAGCTCGATGATTACTGCAAACAGCCTTGAAACATTTCGCACAGGCAGTTTTTGTTTTTTGGTCATTTGTTCTTGGACATAAAATGCAGCGAGTCTGTTTTAGCAATTTTGCTGGAGGTGGATCAACTTTTTCTTCTGTTTTCATATCTAGAATATTCATTATTGATTCTTTCAATTTTCGAGGTATTGGTTTTGTCAAACGTCTTTCCATATGAGGCCTGACCAGTTGTAGTCCAAGTTCAAATAGGTATTTTCGACGAACACTTTTTTGTCTATCACGCTTAACAATTTGGAAAATAATGTTGGAGTTAATGCCTGCTTGATCCATTATACCATAAAAAAAGCGTAATGGCCACCTGCGTGTTTTGCGGGATACCGAATATGTGTGCACCATCTGGTCAAAGGTATCGACACCTCCTTTGGTAGAATTGTAAAAATTTATTATCTCGGGTTTTTTATTTTCATCTATTCTACTATCAGAATGCATTGTCGATAAAAGTAGCACAGATTTAGACTTCTTGGGTGTGAAGGACACCAAGGTTTTTTGGTTGTCGAATCCAAATTGAGAAGACATAATTTCTTTTCGTTTGTTTGGGAGAAATGATGGAGGAATTTCCCTCTTGTTTTTTCTGAGAGTACCCACAATGATCAAATTGTAGTCAACAAGCATTTTGTCAGCCAGTGGGATGGAAGTAAACCAATTGTCCATCGTCAAATTGCGTCCGGTTCCGTGAATGGGTTCTGTCAGTTCTTACGTAATAAGCTGGGAGAGGTTCTTTATCTGGCCTATTTTCTTTGCCGATATATGGAATAGCAGTAACCATATAATATGTGCGTGAATCACACATCGTTACAACTTTGATTCCATATTTGTCAGGTTTTGATGAAATATATAGTCTAAAAGGGCAATTGCCTCGAAATCCCAATAACTGTTCGTCGATGGTACAATAACTGTGAGGAGTATAGTATTTTGTACAGTTAGATATAAACATTTCCCATATATTACGTACTGGAGAAAGATTATCTTCTCGGTCCCTCATGGTTTCGTCGTCAAATCTGAGGCAAGATATCAAAAATCTAAACCTTGTTTCACTCATTACGCATCGATACACTTCTGGTCCATGCTTTGACCACATTTCTGCTGTAGTAGATGATTGTCTTTTCTACAACCTGTCATATAAAGCAGTCCTATCAAAGCCAATATCTCTTCAACGTCTGTCTCGTTAACAAAGCCACAATTAGCAACATATTTCCCTCTTTGTCGTTCTATTTCCATATTTGTATGCACCACTATAATATCTATAACATTCGCGCTAAAAAATAACTTCCATGCCTCTAATTCCGTTGAAATATTTTTGGCCGCACCTTTTGGTCCTGGAATACATGAAACAATGTTTCGCTTAGGTGTTCGAGTACGACATGGAACCTCAGTGCTCCAAATATGTCCATTTTTTCCTTTTATTACTTTGCCAGGAAGTTGTTGTTCTGTCTCACTCTCTACTTCACTATCATCCGTTGAGTAGGTGCTCTCCCTGTCGGACTGAATTGAAACATGGTCGTCATAGTCAGTGCCGTCATTATCTGAATCAGGTTCATTGTCGAGTTCTTCATTCCATCGTAACAGACTTTCTTCAAATTTGGGATCATCTGGTCGGACAGCCATCTAAATAAATTACGTAATCTAGTGTGTGGAATAAGATAAAAATACCAGTTGAAGCTTACCTGGGGTTACTCGTCACCCCAAACACAAAATATCATATAAACTATTGCACTGAACAAAAATGTGCGACCAACAACACACACACTTTAACCTCAAATGAACATAGCGGGATCTCCGATGTTGCCAATTTATGCACAAAAAATTAGTGAACATTCATTTGAATTTTCTTTGGGGTGATGCGAAACCCCACTAAGCATTACAGGGTTAAAAATAACCCGTCGGGTACAGCCAATAGATATACTTCATTAACAGCATATTCAGTAATGATTTTCTCACACAGCAAAAATCACTGATTTTATACACGTGCAGACCAATACACCAATGATCCAGATGCGATCTGGCTATTCAACCAACTTTCTTATCAGAGATAAAAACTACAGACAAGGACCATTTGGCCTCACTAAACATATGCAACCAGTAATGCGTTTAGTCTAGTTGAGTGATTTCTCCTTAGATGGACGTTCCCAACGATCCTAGTGAGCAACCGTGCAATGACTGTTTGCGCCCTAAAAACTGCCTAGTTTGCAAAATGACATCTTATAGGTTTTTTTGACGTTTTATAGGTTTTTTTATATGATACCCATGCGTAGCCCTATGCTGTTACCACTACTTCGCGACTAGGTCTTATCTGGGACTTTAAGCTAATTGGGATGCTTCCCGAAAGTGGTTTAGTTAAGATTTATTCCTACAAATAACCAATTCCGTGTCCAATTTCAGCATATTAACATAAGATTTATTCCTTATAAGCTCCATAACACCGCTAATAGATGTAGTAGATCCCCTATTAATTTTCCATACGCTTTCGTAGCAGCCGCGAAACACGGGAAATTTCACTTTCCCATGAGTGTCACCGAAATAATTTAGCTGGACATTCACTACAGAGATTTCAAGCTTTTGGTGGAATGTATACAAAAAGAGAAAAAAGAGAAACTGTACATATAGAACATTTTTATATACGAGCTTTCAGCTGAGGATTGTTTATTTCTGAAATGCCTAAGATGCATACGTCAGAAAGCCGGCCACACCTCTCTCTCGCACACATACAGGTTGTACCATGGGCGTCCAAGCAGAGCGCGGATAGCGCAATTAAACTTCATTTACAGCTATAAAAAATGAAGTTCTCAGTTGGTAATATAAGTAAAAGTTATCTTCGCCATGGCCCATGCTGAGCCAAGGTGGCAATGGTTTTTATGTGTCAACGATTGTAACAAATATATGATAAGCTTACTTGAGGATCTTAAAAAACGTCCACGGATACAGAATCTGTTTTTTGTTTTTTTTTTAATTTAATAGATCTGATGAGTGTGGTAATTGTCCTGATACATTAAAACTCGCTACGATAAATCGTATACTCGTATTTAAAAAAGGTTAACGTGATACCATTGGTGACTATCGCCAAATTTCGATATTATCTAAATTGATAGAGAAAGCCATGTATAGACTATATAATTTTGCTAAAAAATCTGGTATCCTAAATACATCTTAACCTGGGTTTGGTGCTGAAAGATCAGTTGAAACTGCTAGTTGTCACTTACTATAACAAACTTGACAATGGCGAATAGGTATTACCTTTGCTTTTCGATCTAAGGCATTTGACATTAGAGATAAAAATATATTGAGGCAAAAATTATATACTTTAGGTCAATTGCCTGATCTCACGGAGGGCAGAAAACTTAAAGTGAACCTTGGAGGTACAGAATCCGAGGCGTCCCTCATGGATCTGTATTGGGACCACTGCTATTCAACTCATATTAAAGTGACTTGCACAGTCATATCTCTGAGGGTCACATAACTTTGTTTGCAGATGATACCACGATATCTGCAAAAAACGTGAATCACCTTCATACCAAACTTCAACGTATATTATACTAAGTGACATATAAATCCGAACTTTCTTTTCGGGCAATTGCAGTTAGAGTGCAAAGAAGTGTAGACACTGTGGTTAGGTGTTGTCAGGCATGGCTTCGAGAAGGCCGTACGCAAAGAGCAAGGGGCACTGGACGCCGCCGTAGAACAACAGACCGTGAAGATCGCCGCCTAAGATTATTGGCCTTAAGGGACCGTTTCTCCACTACCAGGTCCATTGCAAATGAATGGTTTGCAGAACACGGAAGACTTATTCGCATGCGAAGTGTTTACCGACGAATGAGAAGCTTTGGCTTGTTTTCATACCGGCCACACTGGGTCCTCCCTTTAACTCGAGAACACCGACGTAATCGCCTTGAGTGGTGCAGACAACGGTCACTCTGGGATCAGGAATGGAACAGGATTGTCTTTAGTGACGAGTCTCGATTTTGTTTAGGCATGCACGATGGTCGTGCCAGGGTTAGAAGGCGACGTGGTGAAAGGAGGAATCCACAGTTTTTTGTTGAAAGACATGTTCATCACACTGTTGGAGTTATGGTTTGGGGTGCTATAGCTTATGGTTCCAGGTCACCTTTAATCTTCATCAGAGGTAACATGAACGCGCAGCGTTATATCCACGAAGTTCTAGAACCCCATCTTTTACCCTATCTTGACACTCTGGCAGATCCAACTTTCCAACAAGATAATGCCCGACCTCATGTTGCAAGAGTCACAATAGACTTCTTTCAATATAATGATGTCACATTGTTACCATGGCCACCAAGATCTCCCGACTTATCCCCAATTGAACACGTGTGGGATATGATGGGTAGGAGATTGCTCAATTTGCAACGTCCTCCTCAGACTCTAGAAGCACTTCGAGAGGAGTTGGTGGTTGCCTGGAATGAGATACCACAGGAGGACATTGACCACCTGATCAGAAGCATGCCTAGGCGCGTTGGAGAATGCGTAGCACATCAGGGTGCATCCACACATTATTAAAGGTCAAAGGGCTTTAAAGCAGTGCAATCATTTTGAAATTTTTATCATTTACTTATTATGCTTCATTAAGTACTTATACAAAATTTTATTAAAATAAAACCATTTAAACTGGGTGTTCGGATTTATATGTCACTTAGTATAGATAAATCATACTTGTGCCAAAGAAATCAGCTAATCCTTAATTCAAGTAACATCTATCGCATAGTTAATATAAAAGTGAATATATATGATCTGACTTTATCTGACTCTTGTACTCGTAAGTTACTCGGCACATATTTTGATAGGAAATTAAATCCGTATAATATATATTATGCAGTCTTTAAGTGATGATAGTTCACTTCCAAATATCAATATTTATCACGAGATCAACACAAGAAACCAGTATTTGAAAATAATTCAGAAACATACTGCCGCCTATTTCAACTGCGTCACATTACTCCACAGATCAACAGTTAAAATTCAACAAACCAAGTGATTACATTTCATTTAAAAAAGAAGTTACTGTTAAAAAAACCATTTTACATTGTAGCTGAGTACTTGGTATATACGAACTTGCACTTGAGTGCATAAAGATGGTGTCAATAGTTATTCATTCATTGATATATATTATTACACTTATTTTATTGTTTTGTATTACATTTTCTTTACCACATATACGAATAGGACAAGACCTATCAGCATTGTAAGGACCTGGATCCACCGTATAGCGATCTTTATTTAAACAACCGACCCCTCCCTCTGCCTTTTGCAGGTGGGTGTGT